AAAGCTTTTTATAATAAATTGGAAAAAATATATTTTGCAAAAAAGAAAAGTTAAAATTAAACGAGAAGCTCTTTAGCGACAATAAGACACAACGGAAATCTTGAGACAGAGATTCTCCCACAGCCCTAGAAATTTTTTGCCCAGAAATCAGACAAAAGTATGTTTCTGTGGAGAAGAACAAAGGAGCCCACAGCAATTTAAAGAAGCTGAAAACATTTCCCACAGTGTAAATTGAGGTGGCTATTTGACTACTCCATGGAGTCTAGAGTACCGCTTTTTAGGATCCATGGACTACTAACATCACTGGTAGCTACGAAAGCTACAGGATATTTTCATCAGTCAAAAGGCCTTTTTATTGCTCTTTTGGTTAGAAAAGTGAAGAGTAACAATTATTTTATATTTGTAAACACTTCTATTAGATTTTGAAAAGCGTTCGCCAATGTAAAAAAGAAAAAAAATGTATTTTTGCTTCAGAGGACTCCAGCTCCGAATAAAACTTTAAAAAAAGAAGGAAAAGGTTGGATCTGGAGGCCCTTGCCATCTCGAGGCCCCAAGCTACAGCTTATTTAGCTTATACGTAAATCCGGCCCTGTATTTTAATATAATAAACCTAGTATATTTTAAAATAGGTTTAGGCTCAAAATAATTTTCATTATTGTTTGAGCTTTTGTCATCATTTTTACACGTTCAAGATGAACCAATCAAATATTTTACCAGCCCTTCGAGTAAATTTGGTAGAGGAATTACATATATTATAGGTTATAAGTTATAAGTGATAATTCCTGAGTGTAAATTTTTGTTGCTGTCATCTATCAATATTTATAATTTAAAAAAAACGTACTTATGCTTAGATAATTTTTTTAATATTTCAAATTTAATTAAGAAATAATATTTTATCGCAACTATTTGCAATATTTTTCTTTTCTTCATAACAATGGGTTTTCTGACGAATTTTATATCATTATTTCACTTGAATATTTTGTAATTTCATTTTAAATAAATTTTTTGATTTAAAAATTTCCAAATTTGGCAAAAATCTGTCCAAATCAAGTGAAGAAAAATATTAATTTCTAATGTCTAGGAATATTAACTATTTAGGTAATTTAACTATTTTTTAAGATGAAAATAGAATCATTAAAATTATATTCAGTTCTTTAAATTTAAAATTATTTTAATTTTGTCGCAAAATTTCGTTTATATATATTTATATCAAACTAAAAATAATTTTTACTTACGACAGATATATATGAAGTAAATCTTTATTTTTACATCGTTAATTTGTTTAGCATTTATTTATTTAGCATGGCAATAAAGTTGGTATGTAAACACTAAAATATTTTAGAGTTTATTAATATAAAAATACAAATAAAAACAAATTTTATTGAAATAAAAATAAAGTCTTTTCCTTACTCTATGCAAAAAATACTTCAGTAAAAAATTTATTAACAAGTAGTACGATTATTTAAATTAGTGAACTATTCTCTTTAAATTTTACTTCAGTTTCGTTATCAGTGACAGCAACTTCGATTTGGTTATCTCAGAGAATTTTAATTTTAAATTAGCGAAAAACAAGCCTATAATTCAATTTTAAATTAGCGAAAAACTAACGTAATTAAAAAAAATTCTTTTCTATCTATTCAGATAGAGTCTGTAAGAAATGTTTGTAAAATTTACATGATAGAGGCATTAAAAGCAAGCTTTTTATGCAATACTTTCTTCAATTTTATTTTATATATAATTATTACTAGATGGCAGCACAAGTTAAAAATTAGTAATTTTATGTTCTTATTATTGATAGTAATTGAAGATTTCGGTCGGCTTATATATTATAATTCTGTTATCTAATTTGCTTTTATACATATGTAAAGTAAGGAATAAGGAAAAAATAATCATTGTTTTAGACGATCAGATTAAAATATATCATAACCTATTTGGATGTCAGATAAAACTCAATTTTTAATAATAATAAATTATTTATTTATAATAATTGCTAATAATTATTAATTTGTAATAATAATTTATTTATAATAATTATTAATTTATATTAAACATTTATTTATTAAATAGTATTTATAGTTTCGAATGTTGCAGCAAAGTTTTTAAGTGTTAAATCGTTTAGGTTTGAAAATTTAACAGCTGGGAACTTCTTTTATTTTTATCATAAAGGATTTGTTTTACGATTTCTAATTCACAGAAACAGTATTATTTTGATTCGTTTCCCGAAATAAAAAAAAGAGTAAGAATATTTTAATGACATGCGAATCAGATAAAAAGTAAATTTTATTTTCGACACTCTTTAAAGGAAAACTGAGAAATTTTTTCAATCTTTTATCTCACTAGATGGCAGCATCATGAGATGTAGTTGTTATTCCATACTAATATACGGGTACAAACCTTAGAGGAGATACTCTCTGCCTAAATTACTCCTCTAAGGTTTGTAGCTTAGAACAGCTGCGGGTAAGGCATTAAATACTAAGTAGGCGTTACTTTTCATCGATTTAGTTCCGAAGCAGCAGTGGAAGGTTATTAAGTAGAAAGTGGGCGTTCCATCTCACAACCTTGAAAGCGTCATTGCCTAAAACAGAAAATGCAGAGGAAAGGCATTTTTAGTAGAAAGTGGGTGTTACTTTTCATCTGATAAAATGCGTATTTAAACCTTTGATGCAAAATTTTTAAACATATATTTTCTTTTTTTCTTCATTATTTTGTATTAACTTTGAACAAAATAAGAGAAAAATATTATTTTTGGTATTTTAAATATTTAGGGTTATGAAAGCTGGAAATAGCAACCTAACTATCAAAAAGGAAAAACATTAAAAAGGAAATTACAATGGAAGCACTGACATATATCGCAGCATCAACAAGGCAGGGGAGGGGGCATTACCATGTAGCCCGTACGGAATCAGTTTCAACAATATAGAGCTACTTGCAATGAAGTTTACTTCATTAATTTTTGGTTAGATAGCTGTTTGCTGCAAAATATAAATAGAAAGAGAATTCATTAGGTTACCATCTTATTGATATTAATATAATTTTCAAAATTTTCTTTGGTAAATATTGAAATTACAAAACTTGTTGATATTAAAATACTTCCAAAACATTCTAATAAAAATGAATTACTTACTTATAAGGTTTACAATTGTTTATTACAGCATGCATTTATTATTCGTTTTGCTTGTAGTGAAATTTTCTTAAATTAATGATAAAAAGATATATCCCACAGACACCAATTATTAAGTTGCTTTTGGCATATTTTTATTTTATTATTCTTTGGTTACTTTTTTGGTTTCATTTGCTGTGGGGTTCAATATGTAAATAGAATTATGTTACCAGGTTATATTACTATGTTACTATAATTGCTAAATTATTATATTTCTATACTTTTTAAATTTTTTCTTTCCAAAAACATGTATTGAATACTGTAATAATAGATATTGTCGATTGAAAGGCTCAATTTTCCGAAGTATTCCAACGAGATCGAATTATTTACTTAATAAAGTTTTTACAACTTACAACTGTTTAATACCGCATTTATTTCAAAATTTAAATAAGTTATATAAAAAAAAATGCATTTCTAGATGAGTAAATTTTAGTTTAAAAAATTGCTTCAGCAAATTTGACCGATTAAAGATTTAAACTGAATTCTTACAAACAGTATAAACTGAATTCTTACAGCAATAATTCTTACAAACAGTAAACTTTTATTAAATGCACCTTTCAATTAAGTATAATAAAGTTTTACCAAAAGAGTTAAAAATTGATTGTTTATTTTAATCATAATTCTTTTTTCCCAATTATTAAATATATAATAGGGAAAAATGGTTATTGTTATTATTTAATATATAATAGGGAAAAATGCTAATGTTTATATTTTAAACATTAGCATTTTGAATAGCATTTATTATTATTCATTAAAAATTGAATTTAATTCAAAATGTAAAGGTGTTTATTTTTAGGTAAATATTTTAAAATGCAATGTTTATCAGTGCCTTTTTTTTTTTTTTTTAATCTTATGAACACATGTTTTTTGGTATGCATGTCATAATTAATTTCATAGTAAAAAATACTGTCTATTCATTTCCTGAACTTAAAGCAAGTTTTAAAATTCAATTAATAGAATTACATGCAGAGAGAGACGGGTAGTAGCAAAAGCTTCTTCAGAACAAAGAGCAATACTCGTCTTATTTTGATAATGAAATTTAGATTAAAATGGTAAAAAGTAGCACTGTTAAAAAGAGTAATAAAGTTGAAACATTTTTTTTTTTTCGTCATTAACCCTTTCGCGCCGACTGTCATAAATACGTGACAGCATAAAACTGTATCAATCAGGGAAAAAAGATAAAACTGGTAATCAAAGTATTTCTTTAGCAGTTTATTTGTGGGCGGAGTTATAATTGTTTGATTTATTTAATTCACCATTACTTTGTTCAAAATAAAACTATTTAGTTATACTTTGAATTAACATTGATTATATATATGATTAAACTAACAATAATTAAAGTAAAATCAAAATAAGTCTGTCAAATTAGCAACGACTACATTTAAGTTTTCGTTTTTTATTTGATTACAACTTGATTCTGATTTTGTACGAATGCTTTTCTGAATCACCCGTCCCCAAGGGGTTAATGAATTAAAACAAACTAAAAAGTTGCTAGAAATAATATGTACACTTTAGCTACGTTTAATTGAATCAAAAATGTAAATTTTGTATACTATCCCCTCCGTCCCAAATTAGTTGCTACATTTAGATCTAAATTTTTGTCCCAAATTAGCTGCTACATTTCAAGCATTTAGAGTCATAAATTGTTTCCGATGCAGTTTAGTAAATCATCACCAGTAAAATAATACTGCTAACGAATTTACAATTCAATTACTGGAATATTCATGAGATTGCTGGTGAAAGAATTTTTAAAAATGGGGCGTGGCTTAAGAGTGTGCGAATCCTGGATTTTTGAAACCAATTTGGTACTGATCCAAGAAGATGAGACGTTAACCAGCCCTTTCGCGCCGACTGTCACAAATCTACCAAAAACTGTGCACCCTAACCATCCACAATTTGTGGAAGTAGCGAGCATCCATTGATCACTTGTTGTGCAATAAGAGACCTGCGCTCGCAGGAGCCTCTTTGTTGATTAAGGCTTCCCCGGTGCCATGACAGCATAAATCCGTATCAATCAGGGTAAAAAGATAAAACTGGTAATCAATGTTATTCAATGTTTAGCAGTTTATTTGTGGGCAGAGTTATAATTGTTTGATTTATTTAATTCACCATTACTTTGTTCAAAATAAAACTATTTAGTTATACTTTGATCTAACATTGATTATATATAGGGTTAAACCATATATGGCAGTACTTTTACTTTCGTTACTTGTACCGCCGGTACAAGTAAATAGAACGTTTTAACTCTTAATTACAATTTTCTGTCAAATCAAAATTTTATGATGGTTTAATATTTGGCTTTTAATGCATGATAATTTCATATGATTAATTTTGTTTATTGTTTGATTACGATTCATATATATTTCATATAAGGTTGTTTTAATTTTTGTGTACAGATTCTTAAACTGAAAATTTTCAGTAATTTATTGCTGCATTACTTTTGAAATTAAAGTTTGAATGAATGTAATAACATTTTATGAACCCCCTAAGTGTTCATCGTGGGGGAGGATGTTTCTGTTTAAAGAATTGTATGCTGCCATCTATATTTCATTTTAAAAAGTCACGTGATTAGAAAATGTTTTATGCAGTTTAGTTCGCTTTAAAATGTCGTACAAATAGGTATTGCGTTTGCCGTGTTAGTATTTTGTGTATGTTTTTAATTTTGTGTTCGTCCTTAAAATATGTCAGTTTTAAGGGGTCGCTATTTAGTAACCAAGTACGTACTTTTACTTGTACTTCGTTACTTTTTAAATTTAGTACTTTTACTTGTACTTTCGGTACTTTTTTAGGGGAAAAGTACAAGTATTTGTAACGGAAATGTCGAATGAAATCATTACTTTTTTCTAAAACTTGGTAAGCTTTCTAAAAAAAACAAAAAAAATTATTGAAAAAATGCTTATGTTTTTTTTTAATTTATTGATTAATTAACGGATTTATTTTTAATTAACGGAAAGCATATCAATTTTGAATCGATATCCAATCGTAAAAAAATTATATGTGAAATATAATACTGCAGTACCTTCTAGTGCTCCCGTGGAACGCTTATTCAGCGTGGCTAAGCAAGTTCTGAGAAATTCTCGCAACAGAATCAGTGACACCACTTTCGAAAAGCAATTATTTTGCAAAATAAATAAAAATATTAATTAGCAAGTTATTTTCATTCATTTTCGAGTTTTATGCATTTATTTAATACATTTTAAATAAAAAATGTTGGATTTTGTTATTACGTTTTTCAATTTTCTTTTTGAACTCACTAATAATACATTTTTGTCTTAATACATTTTTTACTAAATACATTTTTACCTAGTACATTTTTTACTAAAATTATGTTTATGCTCGACCTTGTCAAACAACGCCCAGTCAAATCTCTAAGAACTTCAGAACTATTTGTGCTATTGAAAACAATTATAATTACTATTTTAACTCTTGAAAACTCGAAGGTATTAATTTAGCCGCTGATACTAAAATTCGTTTACAAATTTTAATTATTACGTTAAGCAGAAACGTTCCGAAAATGATTTTCTCGCATGACTTCAGCATTAGCCACTGTTACAAATAAAACTGTTTCAACTTATACTGCACATTTAATTACCTTTTACTAGATCAAAGATCACAAAGCTATCTGAAACCCCGTGTTTGCTTTGTTTATGTTTGTGCTTTTAAAACGCGCTTCTATAGAGAAAAACAATTTTAAATCAATGGTAATTTAAATAAATAAAAATAATAAACTAAAAATTAAAATCAATAGATAAAAATTTTTTTTCGTGCAAATCCATAAAAAGTTTGATATTAAAATTATATTATACGATTTTATTGCAAAATTATATTATAATATTCTTCCGAATTTAAAAATAAATTAATGTCCATAACTTTCAAAATTAAAAATAAATAAATAATTAGAACAATTTTGCAAAAACATTAAAGAACATAAGAATACTTTTGAATAAAATTTTAGGTTACTTTGAATTTTCGATTTCCTAGAAATGTACTTTTAAGTCGTTACTTTCTTTGTTTAGTACTTTGTACTTTTTTTGCTTAGTACTTTTACTTGTACTTTTTACTCGTTACTTTTTAAAATAAGAACCTTTTACTTTTTTAAAAATACTTGTATTTTTACTCGTTACTTTTTAAAAGTAGCGTTGCCATATATGGGTTAAACTAACAATAATTAAAGTAAAAGCAAAGTAAGTTTGTCAAATTTTCAACGACTACATTTAAGTTACCGTTTTTTATTTAATTACATCCTGATTCTGATTTTGTACGAATGCTTTTCTGAATCACTCGTCCCCAAGGGGTTAAAGGGGTTAAAAAAATTTAATTTAATCTGATCCAAGACGGAGGATTATGTAAAAAGCTTCGCCTACCATTGGAGGTAATGCTCACTTTGATTTTTATTTGTAAGCAATATTTTAGAAAATATAAGAAGGACCATAAATCGTACTTTATTTAACAGAGGAAGCATAAAATTTACATATCTGCTTTTAGTTTTACTTATTTTGCTTAAAAAAATAATTGGTTTAATTTAGTAACGATATTCCCTTAGAATACTATTTTATTAATAATTTTCACTTCAATTTGTAGATGCCACTCCAAGTACAATTCTTTATAAACTCATAACATTTTCGGTGCTTCAGTCAACAAAGTTGGCTGAAGCACTAGGTAACTAGGATCTTCATTTGTCTAAAGAACGCCCACGCAGAGAAGTGGGGATGTTCCGCTACACTGACGAATTACGGCGATCTTCATTTTGATATCGATTTCTAAGTCGTCCTCTCCCTCTCCCCTTTCCCGAGGGGAGAGGGAGAGGACGACTGCTCATGACTCTGGTTTCACAGAAAAGGGAGTATCACAGTTTATCATAAACCCCGGGGCCCCGACGGGGGGGCCCCATATGAAGAGACCACATCATGTTTTTTCAAAATACAATACTCTAATTATATATATGTAGGAAAGAAATTGTGTTAAGTTTTTTTTGAAAATTTTCTTTTTTGTAATTACGTACCTACTATAACATAAAGGAAAGGGTAAAAAACGGTATAACAGCTTCTCGCGAATTATTTCCCTTTCTCATAAGAACAAATACACTTAGCAGAGAAGGGGAAAGGCCACAGCTGCATGTAGTTGATTGTTAACACTTTCTGTATGTTGCACTTCTGGTTTACATAGTTGTTTCCTCTACTATCTAGCGTCAGACCCAGTGGCGTGTCAACCAGGGGGAGGCAGAGGACCCCTCTAAAATTTAAGTGATGGGCAAAGATGCGTTTCGCCTCTCCTGAAATTTAGACACTCACAAAAATAAAGTAAAATCGATAATTTAAAATATTTTTTTTTTTCAATTTTGAAGTTATTTTTAAAATAAGAAAACTTTATATTCCTCTAACATTTATGTGCTTTGCGTCTTCTGATATTTAGTTATTCGCCAAGACGAAGTCTAGTAAAATAGGTAATTTTAGAGAAAGACAAAAAAAAGTTATTCTTTCTCAGCTTTGAAAATATACATCAAGCAGGAAACTTTATTCTGTTATGGGCGATTAATGTGTTTTTTGATTTTTGGAAAAGTAAAGTAAAAGTGGAAAAAATATTTTATTTCCAATTTTCACTCTATTTTCTTCCGAAATAGTAATGAGGGGGTGAACATAGTGCTTCGCTTCTTCTGAAATTTTAAAGTGCTCAAAAATAATAAAAATTGGTAACTAAAAAAAATGTCATCTTTGAATCTATTTTCCAAATAGAAAGCTTTATTTTCTTCTAAAATAAAAGTGAGGGAGGGGGTGGAATTTGCTTCTCATCTTCTGAAATTTAAACATTAATAGAATAAAATCAAGTGAAGTTGGACATTTTAGAAGAAAAAAAATTGTTTTGTTACATAACTTCGGCGATATTTTCCAAATAGAAAACTTCATTTTTCTCTTAAATTATAGTAAGGGGATAGAAAACTTTATTTTCTTCTGATATAAAGTAAAGGGGGCTAAAATGTGTTTTGCATCTTCTGAAATTCAGACATTTGAAATAATAAAGTCTAGTAAAATTATTTAAAAAAAAAAAAAAAAACTTTGAAGCTATTTTCCAAAAAGAAAATTTTATTTTCCTCTTAAATTAAAGTGAGGGGGTGAATAATATACTTTACCCCTTCTGAAATTCAAACATTCGAAGGAACAAAGTCAAGCAGAATTTATATTTAACTCTTATTTTCGACTTTAAAACTATTTTCCAAATCGAAAACTTTATTTTCCTCTGAAATTTAATTGAGATGGAAGATAATATGCCCCAGCCCTTCTGAAAATTTGACATTCGCTACAATAAAGTAAAATAAAATTCAGAATTTTAGAAAAAGAAATTATTTTTTTTCCAATTTACTAGCTATTTTCCAAATTGAAATAACACCCCCCCCCCCACAAGAAAAATAGTTTGGTTTTGCTTCAGTTTTTTTCTACAAATTACAACTTTTAATTTATTANCACCCATCCGCACACTAACCGCAGCCAGTGATGCTTGACTACGGTGATCTGCTAGGAACCGTGTCTTAACGATCAGTCCCCTTTGGGACAATAATATTCTGAAAACTTTTGAATCGTAAGGCATATAGTTTTTTTTGTATCATTTTAAAGTATCTAATTCCACATGGAAAATACAAATTTGAGCGAAATTGGTTAAATAGTGCATTAGTTCTTGAGAAATTGAGTTTTATAAGTACGACTTTTTTAAAATTTAATTTCTCAGGATTAATCGATTTCGCTGAAATTTTGCATTTTGTCATGTTTAAAACTTACAATGTTTTGTAATCCAATTTAGATTCGAACAAATAACTTTGTTTTCATAAATATATTCACTAACATAATACATAAATAGCTAAAATGACAGTTAGAGATGGAGTACTGAAAGTTTTTGAAAGGGCCCCCGCCAAAAATGTTTGCTCAGGGCCCCGAGGAGTGAAGTTACGGCATTGGGTTGAGCACTCATTTGATTTGTTAAGGCGGCGAGTGATTCACATGCTGCTTCAT